GCGCAGGAGGGGAAGACCCTCTATGAGGTGGACTGATTCAGTGACTGGGGTAATCGGGATGGGAGTGTCAGAAGCAATGAGATTGGCACAGGATAGAGCAGGGTTTAAGGCTGTTGTACATAGGATCGCTATGAGTAGCAAACAACTCGACGGCACATAACAACAACAACAACAACAACAACAACAACTAGGTAACTTACAAAGTTTGTATACTCTTGCTTTCCTTTTGAATAGTTATACGTATCCTGTTCCTATTTCATAATTTAAATAGCCATATTGCCCTTTCATCTGCTGCTACCAGGCTTATCTTTCCTTTTTCTGATCTTTCACAGTGTTCATTGACTGTACCTTCTATTTCTTCTCTTTCCATTCCTTATTTAGCTTCCAGTGTACACAGTAGAACTCTTACTCAGCATTTGTCCTTTTGTGATTGAATTATTTCACTCAGCATGATGTACACATGTTATGTAGCATTTTACAAATGTTCCATTATTCTTTAGTGCTGCATAGTATTCCATTATATGAATGTACCCCATTTCCTTTATCCATTTATTGGTTGATGGACATTAATGTTGTTTACATGTTCTTTAAAAACTTGATCGTAACTTTCTGAGATCACAAGGGTCCATGTAGGACTCACTTGACTTCCATTCCTTCCCCTAATCATCTCCACATGCACAGGAATATCAGGTTGGTACTCTCTGTGCTTGAGAAAACACACAGAACATATATGCACACAGACTGGGTTTGTCTATTCCTGAGGCTTTGGGAAGGGCTACCCTTGCCTTCCACAGAGTGAACATGTGCATATGCAGGAGAGGAATCTGGGGAAATAATTTTCTCTAGCAAATCACTAATGAACAGTAGGACAGGGATGATTCTTACCTCTGAATGGTTATCACTGTCTCAGATGCAGAGAGTTCCTCCAAGAAAGAATAAAGAGTCAAATTTCTCAAGAGAAAGAGATTGTATCACTGATCCTGGATATATTACCTCACTTAACTCACAGAGATTCATGACTTATTACTGCTCCATTGTCTGTTTTATTGTGGTTATTTTTGTGATGCTCAAATTTATGCCATTAATAGTTCAAATAATATCAGTATTATCAATGGAGTATAAAATATGATCACTGAGATTTCTTGAGACTTTAAAAAATTTAACTAATTAAAACATTCAGATAATTATTGAATCGATTTTTAAAA